GAAGCACAATGGCATGCTTCAGCGTAGCGACCACACGGCGACCTGGGCCAACACAGCAGCTAGTTAGACACCATTGTTTGAGCTCAATCCAGAACAGCAAGCACTCGAGTTTTGCACCCGGTTTTGGGCCCAACATGTGATCTCTGTCTCTGAAAGCAATGCTGTGGAAAGATGGGACCCTTGCCATTCACACACTCAATTGACACAACGTGTTTTCCACAAGTTGTCAAGGCAAGTTGTATGCGCTGGCATATGGCATATGGGCGTGTGTTTTTTTTGCCGGATTTTTTTGTTGACCATTCTCGGGGGTTCTTCATTTGGAGACAAATCTAAATCCAAGTCACCTCCCATTTCACCGCCCAGAATATTAGCCGAGGCACCTATTTGCACAATTCTTACAGTGCCGCCTTCTTTGGGTTTGCGACATCAAAGCTGCAGCGGTTTGATTTCATCGGACAGCCCGTATTCGTACCCCACACTTTGCGCGTCATGATGGTTCGCTCAATATGGGCACACGTTGTAGCCAAGGGCGACACCTCCTTTTAGAAGCGCGCCAAGACCGCATATGCCAGGAACGGGCAAGAAACCCTTGATACTCACCGATCTGTAAGTGGGATCTTCGGGTCCCCGTGTGCTACCCGCAAAGGCTGATTCCTGCAAAAAAAGTCAGCAGAAGAGGTGAAAGTTGGACCTGTTCGAAGTCGGACCCCAACGCAATGCTAAAGCTATGATGATGTGTGGTTTTCTGAAATGTTTCACTGGGGATCCACGGCAGGAATTGGACTCACCCACCTTGTCGCTGCGCGCGCAGCGGCTACTGGCACCCTGTAGCTGCACTGGCTGGCAGGCAGCGGGGTGCTGGGGTTGCGCAAAAACGGTTGCTGGGGGGTTCCCACTGAATTGAGGTTGGTTGGACTCTTTGGTGGACATCAGGTATGGACCACCCGTCTTGGAGAGCATCTAAAGCTTTTTGGGAGGTCAACGTATCTAGTTAAGCCACCAGTCTATACTACATTTGGGAGGGGGGACACGGGGGAGACTCGATAATTTCCAATACACATAAGGGGGCTGACTAAGTTGCCCGCTTTGCCCTAAAATGGTGCGCACCGCACTGGTGTCAATGACAGTGACGGCTCAAACATGTGTCTGAGCCTTGCAATCCGAAGCCTTTAACATTGGCCTGGTTAGCTGTCCCTTTGAAACACTCCAGGAGCCCAGGCAAGTGTTCGCCAAATCATCTTCACAAAACAAGGCGGACGTTACATTGCATCGCATTACACATCTGCACCTACTGAGCAGGTCAGTAACTATCAAGTAACATTGGTGAGGCACTTGACGCCATGCCATGAAGCCCATACGCTGCTGCTGGTCGGGGAAAGGTAGGAAATTATAGCGTGCATCTACTGGTAGAAACCCAGCAAACAGCATGGTTCCCTGTATCAGCTATCCCGTCGGAAGACCATCTCAGAGCCGAAATGTCTCGGGAGTTTGGGTCCATGCCATGGCTCCTGTTTGATGCGCAAGTCGCGACTCACCTGTTAGCCGAGCTCGAACTCGAACTCGGATGCGCCAGGAAGAGCTTCCAGTCGTTTTGCCCCAAGATCCCGTCCACTGTGGCTGTTTCTAGATCTTTGCCACTGGTGAAGCCTGCAGGACCTCACTTGCAACATGCACCTGGCTTGGAGAGGGAAGATGTGAAAGATCCAGCTGCCATGTTGATTATGTTTCAACAAACGCATATGTAGAAGGGGTGAAGGCAACACCTCCCTCACGGTGCGTCTTGCTTTTGCCTATCAACCTAATCTGTGCCTTCGCACTTTTCAGATTAGATCGCAGTCATGGGGGTAAGCGCTGGCCTTCGCGTGGCTCGAGTGGCTTGCCAGCTTTCTGTGAGGCAGAGCATTGATCGCCAGTGATGGACAAAGTTGTTCAACGCAATGACTCCTTGCGCCCTGTCATTTTGCACCCTGATTCAGCCCCGCCTCTCTGATTTCATCAGCCGCCAAAACTGCCCGCTTTTGTGCATGTTGGCATTCGCATGGCCCATTTGGGCAATTCTAGTAGCCACCTCACAAGGGTTTGGGACCTTACTGATGGTGGAAATTAATTGCTCGAACCTGTTGGGTTGGCAAACTCGAATGTTTTTGTTGATTAGGTGTTTTGCTGATAGCTCCCCACCCGATAGGTTTGGGGTTGGTTAAATATTAAGTAAACCTCCACAACCAGCCCGCCTGTCGATAGAGCCTGTGACAGACGGATGTGACAAGGCCTGCGACTGGCAGAGTGACAGACAGCTGCGACAGGAGCTTGTGCGGACAGACATGTGACAGACAACTGTGGCAGACAACTGTGACAGAGCTTGTGACACCTTTGACAGACCAAAGCCAGAGGCTGGCCAGGGCAAGGGCAGACGGCAGCCCCAAGGCCCAAAGCCACAGGCGCGATAGCCCATGCCGGAGGCTCCCACCAGCGGCAGCCCTCCAAGTAAGCCTGATGCCACGGCCACATCTTTGAGCACCGACGAAGCTTGGTCTCCGCCAAACAGAAGCGTGATTTCCGTAAGCTGCTGGTGATTAGGCGTCAACGTTGCCTTTGTTTTACCTTTGCCGTCACATCTGCGAGCAGCATGCTTGAGGCCCCGCACACAGTTGGATTGACTCGTTCGTGCCTGTGTGATTTACAAAAAATCACTAAAGTAGTTGTTTTCAATATTTGAGCCAAGGCCCGACCCCAAAAACCAGCATGGATAGTCTGCCCAGCAGCTTTGCGCAGTTCTTAGGGTAGCTTATTCCGAGACTAAGTGGGTGAATCTAAGTGGATGACTTGTTGTAATTCGCCCAGATCCGCTGAGCACAGGCGGCGGTGATTCCTCGCAATCCAAAGATTGTCAAGATGCCTGGCCGCGATTAGCGTTGATCACGCCTCACGGATGTGGAGGCGCACATGGTAAGATTCATATGTAGGACGCCACCTATTGACAGAATGTGCACAATGAGGGAGGCGGGGTTCGGGTTATGCTGCAAGTTGCCAGCGACTACGTGGAGCAAACATACGGAGCTTCCCGGGGTATCTCGAGACACTCTGAGTCTTGCGGCTTACCGGTTGGGTCCGTAGGCGGACGAAAGTCTGCAGAGGGCCAGCAAAAAACATGGCTACATGCGACCTCAGAGAGCATAGCCTTTAGCCCAGGATATGTTGTCCGTGAAAGGCATTTTTTGGACTCACTGTAGATGTTTGCAGGGCAGAACAACCTATGACAACCCACCCCTGGGTTGAGGACCTGACCTTTGTGTTTTAGACCCTGGGCTCAATCTAAGAGAGGGCTCACCCCGGCCCACCTCCTCAAGCGAACAAAAATGATGGTATGCAACCACTGCGTTGGCACTGCTTGGGGGTATAAGCCAGCCCGAACATCTGTGGAGTCAAGGAGATACGACCCCCACCCGCTGGCCAAGAAGAACAGCAAGCTTTCCCATGTGGACCACCCTCTGGTGCGATCAATGCTCACAAGGGCCTGCCAGGCGAGATCGGATCACGGGACGAGATGGCAGGGGAGCTCCAGATATTTGGTTCAGCTGGTTTGCTGGTTCTTGGGGCCCAGCCAAGTCTGCCATGAAATGAGAACCCCACCAAAAGATGCATAAGTGGATGTCGTTTTGGGGTGAGTTTGGTTGAACGTTTGGTTCGATGTATGTTCGTGTTCATTTTGGCAGGGATTCTTGCAAGGAAAGACACGTGTGTTTCTATGAACTGCTTCACATTGCTTCACGGATCTCAAAAATGAGGTCCTTTGGTTTCCTCCCTGCCTGGCCCTCTCTGTTTTGGCTCGCGACGAATTCCTGACCCTGCTGTTCACCAAGCCCACTCCCGAGGGCCAATGCGAAGATGGGCGTGACGGGTAGCCGCATGAATCTTACGGCACGAGATGCAGCGAAAGTTGGTACCCTCCCGCCACTGAACATGAAGTGTCTTTCAGGACTCCCCGGTCACTCGGTGGGATACTCCGATTCACGTGTGCCAGGCGGCTTCTGGGCATGTTTTTAGACCCATGATGAAGGCTCCTGTCATTGGGAGCCCAAGTTTGTGAGTTGATCTAGTTCACGGAGTGCTTTATCCAACGATGATTTCAGCCTCCTTGGTGGGCGGTTGCAGCACATCCCTTACGCCGAATCGCCGCTTGGGTGGAAGCATTGGTCAACAATTGGTGTGCTCACCTGGCTTTTGGACACAAATAACTTGCCTTCCCTGGCACTTCACAGCCAACCGGAATCCTCAAACAATGACCTCGAAAAGCCGAAGCCAACTCAAGAGGATCTCAAGTTCACCTCCAGCTTAACCTCAAGTTGCACACTTTGTCTACTTCCCGAAACTTCCTCAACTGTTTTCCCATGGCCGGGGGCCATGAGGCTACATGACAAGTTCATGCAGAGGAACATGGCAACATTGGGCCACTTCTCTCGACATTCCACAACCTGATGGGAAGGTATAAGCGGTATAAGGCCAACAAGTCAGATTCGTACCTGTCGACTGATTTAAAGCCACAAGGGGAGGCTTTCAGACTACCAGTGGCCATTCGGGGCCAAGAAGGACCATTGGTCCATGACGGACCAAAGCCTTCCCATGGCTCTCCTTGTTACGACTCTGAACAAGTATTGAAGCCTTGGCAAGTTTTGTTTTTTGTAGGTTAGTTCCTCATTCCAAGGGTTGAACAAGTTGAAGCTGTCGGTCGGTATTCTGGAGGCTCACACCTAACTCAACCTGCCATAATGAAGGTTGTTCCTGGCTGGGCTGGGGTCCCTTATTTATCCTTACTTTCAGTTTGGGAGTAGCCGTTTGCCCAGAAAAAGGTGAAGCAGTCAGATTTAGTTGTTCAGCACCCTTTGTTTCTCCGCATATGGGAAGCTTTCGGGTCGCTGGCATTTCATGCGGCCTTGTCTCCAAGCAGCGTCGTGGTCGCGCCAACTCGCCGCGAGGCGGTGCTGGACAGCGAGGGGGAGCTCAACGCCTTGGATGCCGCCATGGCGGACGGGGACCTGGGCCGCAACATGGCCCGGGCAGCGCAGCGGGGGCCTCGCGAGGGAAAGCATCACCGCGCCGAAGCGGGTTCCACCTGAACCAACTGACCGGCCCTTGGGGTCCACCGGACCGGCCCTTTACTTGGACCCTGATATGGAATTTTGGACCACCGTTGTAGGGGTTGCTTGTGCAGCCATGGAGGTGTCTCAAACTCCAGCTGTGTGTATGGCGTTTGAAGCGAAACCAAAAAGAACAGAGGACAGACAAACCATTATTTGGGGTCCTCTATTCAAAGGCCTCTATTATTTGAGAAACACCCAGGTGGGTGGGAACATGAATGGGTGGGAACATGGCAACAGGATTTCCCAACATTTTTTATCAAAGAAAGTTGTTGGCTTCCAGACATACATTTCTTTTTGCGCTGTCATCATTTTGTTTTCCAAGTAATTCTTTGGTGTTTCCTCAGGCAACCCCAAAAAGGATACCCTCTCAGAATTCCCTAAACATCACCCAGCGGAGTAAAGTTGAAGCACACAAAAGCTGACCTTCTTCAGGGTGCTACCTATGTCTCTAAACGTCACTCACCCAGGCTTCAAGATATTTCCCCCTCCAATAGGCCAATCTCCATTGTCCATTTGCCGAGGCTTCCAAATTGCACCTGTCGAGTTAAGGGCGCAACCCTCCCTCAGACCAACACGGCAGCTCCCAGAACCAAGTCTTCCTGGCAGCTTTCATGTCCCAGGAGCTTTCATGGTAGTCTGGGGCAGACCTAAAGCTTGAAAGCCCTAAACCCCAAATCCAAATCCCCTAAGCCCCAAAGCCCGAAACCCTGGTACTTGAAAGAAACCCAGGCACCAAACAAAAGCTAAGCCCCAAGCTCCACACCCCAGCTCCTAAGCTTCAAACCCATTGCAAAGAGCATATCCTTGAGTCCCTTGTAAACGCGCCCAAAGCCCAAAACACCTTACAATCTCAACCCTCAAAACCGCTAAAACAACACGCACAACCTCAAAACCCGAAGCCTAAAAACACCCCAAAGCCCGACCCCAAACCCTAAAGCCTTAATCTCCAAAATCCCGAAACGCCTAGATCCAACACAACCTCACAAACCTAAACACTCTTGCCCTAAAGCCGCGATGGCCCAGGCTTGTCTTGGCGGCGCTGAAAGATGGAGCCTTGCCTATGGTGCCTAGGCCGCAGGTGGAAGGGGACAAACTGGGAGGTGGTGAGCTTTCCCCAGGTGTTCAATGGCACCCCAGTTTTTCGTCTTTTTCGGGCGGACGCGGTTTCCCCTAGAGTTGGTCTACCCTTAAAGGGACCACCGGGGTCAGTGGCCAACTGGTTTGCGGCTCTCTTGGCAAGGGTCCTGTTTTGGTTCCCTCAGGCTGTGGCATGCTGGCAGGCTTGTGGGTGTGCTGGTGCCCTGTCCTCTGCGGAGGGTGGTATGATGGCGGGTGCAGTTGACACGCTTTTGGAGTCGCAGCAAGGGGTTCGATATTCATGCTTCTAGGGGTAACTTCCCCATTCTTTCCAGGGATCCTTCTTTCTAGAAAACCACCAAAAACCCTGGGGAAATGGCCGGTTTTTGAAAAGAACGATGGCTGAAGAGAGTGGAATTGGAATCAACCCCCAGAATGCTGCCGCTGCACTCCAGCTGGATGCATGCTTCGCCCAGTTCGACATGTCTGGTTCGGCACGTGCTAGTAGGACATAGGAGTTTAGGTTGCCACTGTTTGTGGTACCAAGTGAACCTCCTTTATACACAATAGCAGAACGGGGCCCATGCAAAAAAAGGTGTTCAGGACACATCGTGAGTTCGATTACTTTTGCGTGTGGGGTTTAGTTTTGTTTATTGATATTCGAGAACGGGTTTGCTTCTACTCATGTTTCCCAACCCTCGTTGAAGGGACCAGGAGGTGTTCAGCTGACAGTCTTCCAACAGCCTGCTTGAAGTGATTCCGTTGACCACATGTCAAGCAGGTCGTGCACTAATATAAAGTTGCCCGAGCGCCTAGGCGAAATGCACTGTTGTTTCGAAAACGAATCACGCCGTGTGCGGAAACCGCCCACCCAAAACAGGGGATAGTGCTGCCAGTGCCTTGCAACAGCTGACAGGCTCAAGTGAAGGAAACATGTGGCCTATTTTCAGGGTCACTCTTGCTTGCGCCGGACAAGAGGGCTTGGGGTTTGAGGTTTTAGGGTTTAGGCTTTCCCTCATTCTTGGTGAGTGTGAATTTAAACAAGGGGCCTTTGGCAGACATCATTTCCGCTTCTGTGAATGGGTCCCATTCACTCCCAGGTGTGTGTACATATCTGTGTGTGTTTTTTCGCTTTGAGGTACAAGTACCTCCAAATTGTTGTCAGACTTTTTTGAGGGAAACCAGATGGAAGCCCGCTGTTTGTCAGATTTCTGCAGGGAAACCCATATGGAAGCCCGCTGTCTGCCCACATTTTGGCCAAACCCAGGCCTGGCCTGCGCTGCTGTTCCTGCGCCTGGCGGATGTGCTCCGGGGCGTGGACGGCACCTTATCGGCCGCTCGAACGGGACGGGCCGGCGGCGTGACGGGGTCGGAAAGGCTCGGCGGGTGCCATGGGGGTTGGTTTCAAGGGAGACCAAAGAGAACACACGTCATTTGCCGAGTCCGGGTGCATGCAAAACTTTTGACACATAGCGTTTTGATTGGCGAGCCGAAGGGTTGCCCGCTTTAAAGCAGCTCGGTTCGCCCTGGGGATGCTTGAGGGCGTATTTTCTTGGCATGGGATTCTTGCAAGAGGTGTTTCTTTCTTCGTTTCCCAAAGGCCACAAGAAGGAGGGCATTGGGCGTACTGGGAATTCAGGGACTTCGAAGCCAGGGTTCAGCTCCTTGCTAGAAGTATGCCATACCCTTTGTCCTGGGGGTTTGGAGCAAGCGCAGAAGGGGGCATGTTATATTTTAAGTGGTGGGAGAGCAAGGACAGGGTTGTTGGAGCTGCCAGGTGTGTGAAACGTGGCCTTTCACATGACTCGTGAAGCCCTACCAAACCACCAACAATACATTAGTCAAAGAATCAGAGAGTGCCAGGTTAGGCTAGCAAAGCAGCTGGGATATGATTCAACAATCTTCGCATGTTAAGATTCACTCAATATGGGCCAGTTGGCGCAACTCTCGCTCGCCGCACTGACTGCACGAGGCGCTGCTCTCCGTGTTCTTTGGGCGTGCGGGGCGGCACTTGGCGCAGCGGAGGCTGAAGTGGCAGAAGACCAGACACCCACGCGGGACTGAGGGTGATGCGACGAGGGAACTGGCTTGTTGTTTGCAGATGTTTGCACGGGCAGGGCGGGCAGGGCGGGGAGGGTGGGTGGGTTGCGGGATGCGCTTGGATGTTCCACCCAATCGATATGCAGAGAACCACACTTCATTTAATTTAGGTATGATCAGGGTAGAAACTACTTTACATCCAAGTGACTGCAATAAAGCACCCCTCCTCGTTTTGTGCCTGTAGGGCTTACTGTTAGACTGTATAGATTATGGAACCCTTCTTGGCAGGGCCGCAGCCTGTCAACTTTGCCCTTAAACGTGTCATTATGGCTGTGGCTGAAAACATGTACCAAGATGGCGCCTTGGTAAATGAAACCAAAGACTAAAACTTGCGCAACCCTAGCTCTTGAGTTTGAGCCGCACTCATACGTTTTTGTTGTTCGCAGATTGCATGCAGGATATTCTGGAGCTACCCTTCAGCTTTAATTTTGTTGCCGCCGGCAGAAAAGACCGATGACTGTGTGCAAGATATCTCTTGCTGATACGGGGGTCAGCAAGGGCGTCGCATGTTGCGGCGGATTAGGTCCACACAGCACAGGATATGGATTTGTAATACGGATGCTGAGCATGATTGTGGTTTCACTGGGGCCAGATAACTTGTTTCGCGTTGGCGTGTTTTTGCAGCTCGATATAGCTGTTTCGCCTTGAACACAGACTCCGCCTCTTTAGGGCCTTGATCTTCAAAAGGTCCCTCCAGACCCCTTTCCTGTTTACAAAGCATCCGACGGAAACCAGCCATTGTCAGTCGCCGAACGGGGGTAAAACGAGCTCACCCACGAAGAAGGTCCCTTTCAGATGTCTATGTAACTATTCTGGGTGCTGAGTATTGAAAATGAGAAGTGCAGCGGATTCACATTGAAGGTGCAGAGCTGCAAGGCCCCAATCATCATGGAAGTGAGACTTTGCCATGAGCTGGAGACTGGACTTCTAATGTTGTGGACTCCCGGGTTTTGTGGGATACTTTGATGTTCGGCCTACTAAGCTTGGATGACCCCAGTCAATGTCGACCCAGAATGAACACAGCCCCGGGTTGATCAATGAGGGGAGTTGCGCTTTAAAGGAGGTCTCTTCCACTTCTTTTGGGAACCCACACGCTATTAATAAACCGGGTTGATGAATCCTGGGTCCAACACACCCCAGTTAGGGCTGTTCGCCGTACTTGTGTGCTAAAGATCAGAGCCCCTGATATTGACGCAGGACGAGGCGTCGCTGCAGCCACCTTGGGTGGGACGCCCTGGAGGTCTACGATGCCCTTTGTGCTGGCGAGAAGGAGGCGAGGGTGGAGGTTTAAAGGGAAAGGTTTACAGAGGCGGAAAAGGTGAAGGCGGGTGAAGGTAGGGGTGCTTCTTTCACCAGCAACCCTCTAAGGCAAGGGAATCGGAAGCTTAGCCATGGTGGGAAACCACTCGAAGGCGGCGAGTCAACCGTGTTGCCTTTTGTTGGGAGCACCACTGTGTCTGTGTCTGTGTCTGTGTGTGTGTGCGCCCTGGAGTTGATGCTGGGCCCCTGGGCCCTAGCACAGGCAGTCTGTGGGGCTGTTCCAAAGCCGTCTTGACGTGTCCAATTTTGGCGGACCTAGTGACATGCTCACCATGCTGAGCAGTATGTATGCCCATCAACGCTTGAGTCACGGGGTTTGCATACATGTCCTTTGGAACAAGTTCTGCCAGGCCGTAACAAAGGATGAAGGACATCGCCACTTTATTTAGGGAGCACCCCTCCCTCAAACTTCTTGCAGGGCATTTGGCTTTTGCTGCGTTCCCACCCTGGAGCAGGGCTTTCAGCAACTCAGGTAGTTTTTCTGTGGGCCAGACGCTTATGATTTGTGTGCGCTTGAATGTTTATGTGTTGCCCGCACTGTCCAATTGAGTAGCTAAAGCATACTTTGAAACATGTCTTGAAAAGGAGAGATTCCTCCATTCGAGGAATCGATCGGAACTTAAGCCAGAGACCCAGCACAAGCAGGTACAAGTTTCATCAAGTGTCCTGTAGAACTTCCGGTTGCCTCTGAGGCTACTTCGGATGTTCCGAAGTTTCCTTTAAATGAGTATTTGGCGAACGGAGTCCACTTCTCATAACCCTTCCTTGGTGAACAAAGCTCGATCGACAGGTGGAGACAGTGGGGGAGTCCGCCGAGGGCCAGCGCCGCTCGGCTCGGTCGGGGGGGGGGGGGGGTGGTAGGTGGTGGATGGGGGAGGTCCTGCACGTTAGTCACCTTTTGGGTTTGGACCATTTTGGGTAGTAAACAACAAGTTTAATGGTTACTTTCATTTTCATCAATCCACCCAGGAAGTCAGATTATGTTAGAGTTAAGAAGCTCGATGCTACAAGAATCTGCTTCGAGTTTTGGTGTGGGCGAAGAAGACCAAGGTGCCAAATTCGATGACGGGAGGCCAAGGGAACGCCACCATCGCCGCACAATGTTGGTGCACTTCTTTTGTGAGACAGCCTCATGGTTTCTCTGGTTTCCTTTGCCAGGCTTGTTTTCAAACGAGGGCCCTATGATAGCAAGTGGTTTTTTTCTTGCTTGCTAAAACGGGGCCGGCCTTCTGTGTTCAGCTCAACAGCGCTGTTTTCCCCAACCTGATGAGTGGCCCATAGTGCCCATAGTGGCCCCCTGGTTGCGGTGGAGGCTGGGAAGGGGACAAACCCCTGCAAGCTGGGAAGGGCGTTCCAAGAGTTCAAGTCCCTTTTGGTTTCCCTGGCTTTGCTTTTCTTCCATCCTTCCCGGCCCAAAGTTTCGAAACAACCAGCGACGCAGCGACGGAAACGAAAAGCACCCGACTCTGCGGCCCACTCACTCGGGGCCCGTGTGAGGCACTTTTCTGGACGCCCTGCTGCCTGCGCTGCGGGTCGCAGGCAAAAGCATCAAGCCTGCAGAAGCCGAAGGCCGCTGGACCGACAGTTGGGCGCTTTGCGGTTTTGAGGGTCCTACTTCAATAGTGTTGTTTAGTTGTTTTTGTTGTTTGTTTGTCATGTTCCTTTTTTATCAGAAAAAAGCCTTTCGACCCAACCGCAAGGTTGGCATCCCACAGTTCCATTCAGTTCGGACGAGTCCTCCCTAAGGAAACGGGGCATGGGGGGAAGCTCCAAACTTTCGGGTTGCTTCCAGCCCCGCTGTCCATATCTTGCCCCAAAAACCGACAACCGAGGCTTCTTTTGTCACGTTGCCCTTTTGAAGCCCCAACCTTTCATGGTCCGGTAAAGTTTCAGGGAGGTTTTGCAAAAACGACCAGTTGAATGATGCGTTTTCCTGGCTTGGAACATACGCTCAGGTGCTCCCTTCGCAGAATCTCCTGCTTGGAGGTTCAACTTGCGCTCATAACCAGTTATGAGTCGAGTTATGAGTCATGAAGGAACCAACCCCAGTTCACCCACTTAGAGCGAGCGCTTGTCATGCTTCAAATCGCAGGTGATGTCTTACTCAAAAGCAGGCCGCTAAGAAAGGGAGGGGCAAGAATAGAGAAGGAACGAGATGGAAAGCACAGCATTCTGCGAGGCTTGTTCATCCCGCTGGAGGATGATGAGGAGTATAACTTGGAGTTTGCAGAGCAACATATGGACTGGGGCAGCTTAGCACAATGAGATTGGGCTGTCTTCTGGGCTGCGTGCCGCCACACGGAACCTTCTGCAAGTCAGGGAAGAGGGGAAGCTACAGGCGCCCTTCCCCGTGTTGCCTTGCGACTCTACGGGTGGCAATTTTATATGCCAACCTGAGCATCGGACGCGCTTTGATGCAGTGCACCTTGCACTGTGCAACTGTGCAACCCAGGTCGGCAGACGAGCGCTGATGAAGTCGCGCCGGACAGACGTGCAGTGCAGAGCAAGCCACCGCAATGCTGTTGCTCCTTCTGACCTGCGTTGGCTTGCAAACACACACATAAACAGGCAGGCCCGGACACGCAGACGGACAGACAGACAGGCCCAACAAAATCAAAACAAGCAAACCAGCAAACCAGCAAACAAACAGTCACGCAAACAAACACATAGAGAGACAAGAAGCAAGCAGGCAAACAAGCAGCAAACAAGCAAAAAACAAACAAATCAATGAAACACAAACAGGTAAACAAACAGACAGACCATCAAGTAAGCAAAACATCAAGCAGTCAGACCGACAAACACACAATAATACTGACCAGGAAACACGAACGCCACCAAACAAAGCAACCAAGGAAATACACAAACCGACCTGCAAGCAAGCAATCAAGCAAGACAAACAACCAAACATACAAACAAGCAAGAAGACAAACAAACAAGCAACTGAGAAACAAACAAACCAATAAACTAGCACAACGCTCATAGGAACAAACTCGCGCACACAAGAGCGAACAGCGGAGTAACACAAATTAGCACGCATTATCATGCAAAAACGCAACACGTACCCTGACACACACACACAACTAATACACAAAACAACAACCATACACACAACATACAAAAACAAGCAAGCAGACAAAGAAACAACAATCAAACGCAAGCGAATGAACGAGCGAACGAACCAGCGGACAAGCAAGCAATCAAGCAAACAACCCAACAAAGACACACAACTAAGCAAACAGAGCGAACTAACTAACTAACTAAGTAACTAGCGAACGAACTAGCCAACCAACTAACTAGCAAATTAAGTAACTAACAAGCAAAGCAAGCAAGCAGACAGAGACAGAGAGACAGACAGAGAGACAGACAGGCAGGCAGACAGGCAGGCAGTCTGGGAGGCAGGCAGCCAGCCAGCCAGACAGCCAGCCAGCCAGCCAGACAGACAGACAGAGACACACAGACAGACAGACAGACAGACAGAAAGAGAGACAGAGAGACGGAGAGACGGAGAGGCAAGCAAGCAAAAGCAAGTTGCAACTGAAACAAGTAAAGCAAGCGAGCAAGCAAGCAAGAAGCAATCAAGCAAGAAACAATCAAGCAAGCAAGAAAAAAACAGCAAGCAAAGAAGCAACAACACAAACCACAAACACTATCGCAAGCGTAGGCGGAATCACAAACACAACTTCAGACAGCGGACAAACAATCACACGCGCAGATACTATACGCAAATCAACGCAGACACACACACACACACACACCAAACAAATTGGCGCACGGGCGTGCGCACACAGACACACTGACACACTGACACACTGACACACTGACACACACACACAGACACGCAGACACACAGATCATATAGACGCACACACACAGACACAAACCACAAACACACGAACACACGAAGACACAACACACTAAAACAGTTGACACAAACACACGAAAACACAAACACAGAACCACACATACACAGCGCACACGCACGCACACACGCACGCACTCATGCACCCACGCACGCGCACCAATGCACACACACACACACACACGCACAGACGCATATAATACATATATATATATATATATATAATTTACACACACACACGCACGCAGACGTCGACAACCGCGCAATCCAGGAGCACAAGCGCAACAACACAAAAGAAAGCGCGAATTGAGAGGCACACTTGCTGAGACAAGGGCACAGACACCGAAACGGGCGAGTGCAACAAGGCGAAAAAGGGCCATGTTGCCAGGAGATCGAGGAGAGCGACCGGCCAGCGCAGGAGGCAAATGGGCACGTTTGAGTTGCTCAGTGGCACCTTTGCTCATCTCTTACAGAATGCATTGGGTACAGTTTGAAATCACTTCCAGCTTGTTTAGAGCATGCACTGCTGAGATCTTGTGCGGGTGATTTTGGATGTCCTTTATGGAACCCTTTGTCAACAAGATTTTGAGAGGTGAGCCCCAGCCCGGCAACCGGCAAGACTCAGCCATGAGCCCCAAATGGATTCCACCATGGTAGATCCCGTTTTATTCGGTTCCCAACAAAAATCGAGGCCGTGCGAAACGGTTCGATGATAAGACGGCCTTTCAGGGATCCAAGTCATTCCTGGTCAGCACACATCCCCTAGTTTGCAAAGGCTCAGTTCTCTTCGACGATTTCCCCTGAAGGTGGCTCTTTGAGAAGCGTCCAAGAACAGCCTGAAGGCGAGCCCAACTGATTTCTATTATTCCTCATGAGGCCGGCCACATCAATACTGCTTCAAGCAGGGTCGCTTCAATCAAGCAGTTCGGCAAAATCCTTATATCATCCAACGCACCTCCGAATAGATTCGCATTCCAACCAATTTCTCAGGAGTTTCAACGGACATCCAACGGATATCCACCAGAACTCAATTACTTTTGTTTGAGATTTTTTTTGGGGGGGGGGCAGCTTTCGCCGGCCAAAGTCACAAGTTGCAGTTGTTTAAAGCCCAAGGTGAATTGTCATTTCCCGGAGCCGCGCTGCTTGGGCCTGCTTTTTGGGATGCCATTTGCACCGCAGGTGCACGTGCCATGGGAGGCTATTGCCACGGCTGCGCAAGAGGGAGCCAGGTTGACCGCCAGCATGTGCCATGGCGTAAGGAAAAGTCCAACCAAGCACATCAACGTGGAAGCGCAAAATGGTGGCAACACCTCCAACACTGCTTTGGGTCTCCAGGGCTTCTACTTTCACCATTTGGGCAATGAACGAGCTCACCGGTTCAGGGTTAAGACGAGCTTACCCATGAAGACATCTTACCTTGTTTCGGGTGTGTGAATGAATGGAAGCGTTGATCCAGGTGCCCCCTCCCCCAATGCAAAATTTGGTTCAAGGTCGATGAGTTCCATG